TAATATGGTCTTCGCTCGAGCGGCCACGAATGTTCCGGGTTCGATTTCCAGTCTGACCCGATAAATACATTCGACCCTTCTCAAGCCCCCGCTAAATGTGTAAGCGGTAGTGCTTCTGTCTGTGGGGCTGATAAGGAAAGTATGTCTAGCCTTTATAGTGGAACAGAAAACGGAGGTTCGTTCACCCATGTGCACATTAGCGTTAAAGATGGGTTCCCGCGTACAAACTGGGTGATTTAATGGTATATATGGACCAAAAACATATTCAAACTAATTAATTTGTCATAATTATGCTTCAAATCCTTCTCAAACATTGTAATTGCGAAGGAAGGCCCTGCAATTAAAATTCGATCAAACCAGGTCATGTTTACGTCACGTCTTGGGAGTCAGAGGAGAATTCATTGCATAGATAAGACGATGTTGTCTTTAATCGCTTACTATTTATTACAAATATCGAATCCTAATTAAATTCTCGGATTATCCACAACCCGCGTCTTTTTCCGTCATTTTTATCTCAGAAAGTATTGTACGTCTAACTCTTCATAAATTTTATCAACTTGTACATCAAGCGCTCAATGTTCGCTTGTGACCTTTGACATCATGCGTGCAGATGTTCCTAATCGTCGGGCTGTTGATTAGGGGAACCCTTACATTTTTGTCCTGTATACGCTCCATGAGTGTTTTTCGGGGAATCCAGTATTTTTCTAGTAAGATTGGATATCTCTACTTTCCAAAATTGCCATACTTTTATTGGAAATAACCACCCGATAAATACTTTTCTGGGAACCCATCTTTAACGACGCTGAAGAGCTCTTGAACAGTTTGAAGTTGAAAAGAGATGGCGGAATGCCACTGTCTGGGCAAATTTCTCCTTACACATGCACATAGATAGAAACTACCGACCGATCCATGTTTGTCTTAGATGACCGAAGTATTGTCTTGATGAAACGGTGGTCCAGTGAGTAACACACTGGCTCGCTAACCAAGCGGTTGTCCATGTTAGTGGTGCAGGTCGTTCGGAATTTCATTTATTGACGAAACACTGGCATTCCCATCAAATTGATGATATATGATAGTCGCTTTATAATCTTAACTCAGTCTAGACGACACTCTAGACGTCACTCTATCTAGAGACTAGAGAGATAGGCCTAGACACCTCCTTTGTTACTCTTCAAAGTGTGCTGGCCTGACTATCTCATATCTGTTTCTATTTCAAACGGTACATCAACCATCAATAAATTTAAGTGAAATATTAGCCTAGTCTATGACAGTCATTCATGTAGAGGGTGGTCGCCCGGCGGTTGGTGTTCTCAAGTTCTACTACTTCTACGCACCTTCTAGCCTACTTCAGTACTTGTATTAATTATTATATATTATTATTCTATAGCGTCTAGGCCTATATTATAGCCTAGATGGATGCTTGCGCATCAGCTAGGCTGCATGCATCATGTAGGCTAAACAAAAAGAAAACAATACAAATTTTAAAATGCTCCTCCACACACAAAGTGTGAAAGGCGTCTACAAAGTAGGCTAAACAAAAAGAAAACAATACAAATTTTAAAATGCTCCTCCACACACAAAGTGTGAAAGGCGTCTACAAAGTAGTCTACGGTCGAAAAGAAAAGCAACGAAATTACTGACTACCATTCGATTATGCCTACCACTAGAACTAGTACTAGTAAGTTAGTACCATTCTCCACACAAGTCTCGCTATCCAGCATTCGTGTGAACTGCAAGGGAAGACAACTCTGTTTGGGAGATTGAGTTAGTACTACGTACTACTAGCTAAGTAGGCAGTAGGCCTACTAGAGGCCTACAGGCCTACGCGGCATAGTAAATAATAATAATTTCATTTAGGTCTAATACTGCAGCCACCAGGCCCAGGGTTAGTTGTCTGTGTGGTTGCGCTGGTGCTAGTCTACAGTAGTTTAAAAGTAATTATAAGTAAGGCCTAACCGGTAGGCCTTTTTGAAATTCAAATCGAGTCGAGTAGCCTAGACTAGAGCCGAGCTGTTCTCCAGCCGTCATCATCAGTCTACTTACGTGTTTTGCAATTGCCTTGATGAACAACCACCCCTATTACAAACAGGAATAATATTTCGCCTTTCATTTTTCAAATAGGCTATACAAACTTGGCCCTATTCACCGCTGCAAGTGCAAGAGGTATCTTTAATGGCGGAAGGCATCGCTGTAAAAAATTCTTGACTGATTGACGTCATAAATTCCGTCGTTGCCATTTCTGTTGATGCGTAGAAACCGTCACGCGCCAAATCCCCATTTACAGCGTGATGTACTGGCGTAATTAATGCGAAGCGTAAAGTAATGAATAACCAACATCATCACATAATAACATTCTACAGGAATCGTACACGATAACTAAACTAGCCTAATTGAAATTCATCAATCTCTTTAACAAACTATACACAACTCAATCGCAATTATCCAGACAGACACAATGCGCTATTATCGCCGACTCCTTACGATGCAACGTCATTGCTCTGGAAACATGATCTGCCATTTTGGGGTTTGTCAGCGTAGTTTCTCGTAGGCCTACTGCAAGAGTTGTTTTCCCTTAAGTTCCCTTGGATTTTTAAAACAAATAATCTGTTTAATAACAAGAAAAAAATTATTCAACATTGCCTGTCCCCCAACCTGTGCTAGACAAATATTATTTATCTGTACGACTTGGTCTCACTGTAACTCCGTATAGCCTACATATTATCGAGGCTAGATGTTGTAAAACTCGCGGTCGTTGCTTCAGGAACATGAATGACTAATGGCTGTATCCCCTTGGTTATCTTTGCAAAATATGATCAATAGACTACATAGACGTGGTTCTAAAACTAACACACTAATATCCAGACTACTAGTAGGCCTAGGGCTATCACATGTTTTAAAAGTTAGCAGATTCGTCATGTGTAGACACATCATGTCCCGAATTTACGTCTAATGGTTTTATTTTTAAAGAAAAGGTTAGGCGAGAACACACAAAGGTAGAATGTTACGAAACGTTTTGCTCATCCCGTCTACAAAAAAACTGAGTAAGTAACGTGCAATTATTTCTCTGTATTCATTGTATAAGCTTGCAGCAGTGCTCCAGTGAGCTGAATTGGACTCTAGACCGTGAACAGTCAAACGTGTAGGACGACCTAGAACACGTATTTTACTCATAGTTTCTAAAATTTCAAGAACAATTCTGTAGATTGTATTGCTGTAAATAATTCAGGTTTTTAGTGTTTATATAAAAAAGATAGCCTACTATTGTTATAGCTAAATAAGATGGAATGTGTTATAAAATATCAGTGCACTTCTAAATACAGTACCATTTATACACGTGCTTTTTGGTCCAACAGAGGGACCTGACACACTCTCCTACAACCGACATAGTCCGTTAGAACGTAAGGACCTGATTCAATCCAAGATTCTGCTAAAAACTAAAATATTTCTGTAAAAAAAGGCCCTGGATTTTCCGTATCCGAACCATATTGAAAACAAATGGTTCATTTCTTATTACAGGTTTTAGTGTTTAACTCTTTTTAACACAGCTCGCAGTTTTAGCACAGTATAAACGAATAGGAAAATAGCTCACAAAGGGTGTGGTGTTGTTGGGGGTGGGGTGGGGTGAGGGTCCTAGTAATCGAAGCTGAGGCCAACGCCAGAAAAGGTTATTAGGGGCTTACGTGCCCAGAATTGCCCACCGTACGCCTGTCTTACCTAATAATTCAGGAATCAGGTGACTGGGATTTAAGCGCTGCCGTCCCCCAAACCCGCCATTTAGAGAGTTCACGTGATATGCTCACCGCCTTCAAGAAAACTGGCCGATGTATATATATAGTGTGACATCAAACGTAATCCAATTGGTCAGTTCGTAAAATGATAATTCGTAGAATGAAAACGGAGTTTTCCCACTATGCAGGCAGACTGTTAATCCTTTAATTGATCTTAAAATTATACTCTGTTTAAAAGTAGTCACTCAAGAACTGTTCACTAGTGTTCAGCGTTAATGAGCTCTTAATGGGTTGATAATTACAATGGCCGTAATGTGTGGAACCATTTTGATACAACAGGGCCCCGCACTACCAACCACGTAGAAGGTTGGCATTCTAAGTTGAATAAAATGACAGCATGTCATCCTAATATTTACAAGTTCATTAACTTAATAAAACAAGAACAATCTTATGTCGAGTCGAAAACACAATTTCACAGATATTATTTGGTGGTACCAAAAGGCCTCGAGTTAAGAAATATCGACAACTTGATACAATAATAGACCATTTGAAAACACAGTTATTAAATGGCACTTTAAGTGTAGATCAATATGGAACAAATATTTCCTATTTAGTGGGGCTGTAAATTCTATATATTTTTATATGTGTAAATTATATAATGTTATTTAATAAAAGTTAAATTTGTTAAATTCAATACAGTTTTATTCTTAAAAAAGATATGGACCTATACATGTAGTTTATAACACCATTTTTCTAGGATTAACTTTGGATTAGCGACAAAATTTGACATCAAAGCCTGCCGCAAAGTGGGAACACCCCAATGAAAACAATGAAGACTATGGTGCCAAATAGAACGGACGTGATATGCTTTCCTTTAATAAATAATTATTATTTCACTACCATTAAAGACATGTTAGCTTACTAAAATATTATTATTTGTATTTTTATAAATACGACAGTATTGATAGGAATACATTTTAAATAAGATATGACGCAAAATATGCTAGCAAGCCATGCAAATACAATTGTAACATCCTTAAGGGTGAATCTTGCGACGCCAACAGGACATGTCTATTGGACAATAACACCCCTCTAAATGCGAAACAGGAAGTGTTTATCTCCTAATTAACGCTTGGTTTTGGTTTGAGAGAGGACATGTTTTACAAAAATCAAAACAATTAACAATTCACCATGTCTTTTTATTTTTTGTAAATCAATACAGAACAATGCTATTATATAATGATTGGTCGACTATTAAAAAAAAAACCAGAAACACGGAACGGATATGACATATTAAAAAATATCTATGTAAATATTAAAAACATACATCCTAAAAGAAGTTTTGTTTGTTTACAGTTCTTTGGCGAAATAAAAAAACCAAAAAAAAACAAAAACATTCGATAATAATGAAGAGAGCGAGAAATGGGGTTTAACGTCCACTCGACACAAAATAGTTCATTTCGGGTCTAACATAAAGTTCAGTTTTATTTCAATAATTTGCTGGCGTAGGGGTCTTTAGCAGTGGGGGATACCCGGAAGATCCGGAGAAAACTCACGAGGTTGGACAGGCGACTCTACTCCTTGTTACGTACAACAGGGGAATCGAAACCACGCAGTTGACTCAATGACAGACCTTATGATACACAACGTGCACGCGCTAACCATTCGGTCATCCAATTCCCTCGATTATAATAAAAGTGTTACAAGGCGATGTATCGATTTCTGGTCATTCTGCATCCATGGGGACTATCACACTTTGAGAATAACTCAAGCGAAGCAAATAGTGGCAGTCAGTCTACGTTTTAGAGCCACGTATCGATTTCTAATCAGCTATTAAAATCACATGTAGACGTCTACAAGTGTCCATTTGGGCTAAATAAAAGGATATTTTGGGTTAAATGAAGGATGCATTTAAATAAAGTTTCAATTGGGTTCAAGTTCCGATGCGCCATTTTCATTTCCGCTAAAATATCAACTTTTTTACGGCTTAATTCACGCTAATATGTACTCAGATGGATTTTTTTAACATTTGATAAAGAAAACAAAAATACCATCGCTAGATAATCTCCAAGCTTGAATTCAATCGGATTTAAAATAGGCCCTTCATGTTTCTCCGCTACCGACTAAAGATGGCGACGTCTTGTTCCTGTCGAGCAGCATGGGCTAATGAAATGTCAATTCCACATATCTTTATAAATACTGAACGGAATCTAGCCATTTTTGGACTGAAATTCCTCTTAAAGATTAAATAAAGAGTCAATTTATTTAAATTTACTATGTTGATTTCTTTTGAATTGTGGACATTTAAAATCTAAGGTCGAGAGGTAGAGACAAATGTTGAGATACGACTAATTTAGGTTGAGAGGTAGACACACATCTGACTTTTACAATGTGTTGTAGGCCTATGTTCAGGGGATTTTGATGTAAAAATCGATGGTTTAATTACAGCTGCAGTTATTTCCAAATCACGCTAGATTAAACGAAACGGAAGTTGAGCTGTTTTAATTAGAAAGCTCGATTGTGCGCAATAGAATTTGAATCAGCACCAACACAGAGATGACACCATGGGGGCATCTTTTAACTACTCTTTGGTCAACATAATAAACGGCTCAAAATACAATGTTGCACTTGGTTACCTTGACGCCGGGAAGATGACATCAAAAGCATTAGGCAAGAATTACGAACAAAAAGCGGAGAAATGGATAAGACTAACCCCAGCTTTTTAAGACATTGATATATGGAAATAGTTCAGGCCATGACGCATACACTGTGTGGTCTAAGGTCAAGGCCGGTTCATAATCCGCTAATCTGTCACTGGACATGTCTTATTACACGCTGTCTTTTTGTTGGATAGTGATGGTATAGTGATGACGCGTACGTTTGGTTGCACGTGACTTGGATGAAGCCGTGGGTTCTTTTTTATATCTTCTTGTAAACTCAACACACTGGCATGAGAATAATACAGAACAAAATTATTCACAAAAACAGGAACAGTTACAGCTGTCAGCAAAACGCCAAGTAGCGCACAACAACATGCAACAAGCTTGCCCTGGGGTGTTCCCGGAACAATATCCCCATACCCGACCGTTGTGACTGTGATTAGGGCCCAGTAAATGCCATCTGGGATATGTTTGATTCGAGTTTTGCCATCCAAGAAATAGATTATACACCCAAACGATATGACAGCCAGGAACACAAACATGGCGACGGTCATTAGTTCTCGAAATCCCACGCGCATGGCATAGACCAACACTCGAAAACCACGAACTCTTTTTATCATTCTGAGAAAACGGAGGATACGAAGTACTTGGAATGCAAGCACTAGGTCCAAAAGACTTGCCCGGTACCGTTCTTTTGTTAGAATCCCTTCAATGGTCACGTGAACAAAAACTGCCACCAACGCAATCAGATCCATCAAGTTGAAGAAATCAAATATGAATTTCAGTTTATATGGACATACAAGAAATCTCATCATTAAGTCTAATGTAAAGAAGGCCGTCGTCACGTAATCCATTATGACCAAATATTGAACGGTAGTGAAAGGTCGAGGGAATCTAGTTTTATTTTGTGATTGCGGGATGTCAGCTGCTATCGTGTCATAGTAATATAATCCGTCGTCGTAAAACGCATCCATGTCTTCCGGTTGAAATTCGTCGTCAAGGTAATCCTGCCATTCCTCCATGTTTAGCTTTCGTTGAAAGAATGGGTGTGTCTGTGCCGTGAGAACAAATATGGACATTAGTACAAATATCCCAGCTATCACAGCATACACCTAGAAATAAACACAATATATTTCTAATTTAGTCCATAAATACTGAAATTAGTAAAACATTACCCCATAAATACGGAAATTAGTAAAATAATTCATAAATACGGAAATAAGTGAAATATTTAGCCCATAAATACTGAAATTAGTAAAATAATTAGTCATAAATACTGAAATTAGTAAAATAATTAGTCCATAAATACTGAAATTAGTAAAATATTAGTCCATAAATACTGAAATTAGTAAAATAATTCATAAATACTGAAATTAGTAAAATAGTTCATAAATACTGAAATTAATAAACTAATTAGCCATACTCGTGTATCGAATTCCAACTGTAAGGGGTCTTTTACGTGCACGCCAATGTGTACATGGGACCTCGGTTTTTCGTCCCATCCCAACGACTAGACTTCTGTTCTTGTCAAGCCCTCCGTTCTGCGACACTGACAAGGGGAACCCTCGTCGGAAAATTCCGATGAAATTTCTCGGAAATTGGTAAAAGTAGTGTGAGAGAGAGAGAGAGAGAGAGAGAGAGAGAGAGAAGGTGGGGGGGAAGAGACAGGAACAGAGAAGTGCAGACACAGATACAGACGGAATGGGGCTTAACGTCCAATCATCGACACAAACTATGTCATATCGGGACTAAAATACAATAATAATAGTAATACGCTTGTTGGAGGAAACCGGGGACACCTGGACGAACCCACACGAATAGACAGGTAACCCTACTCCTGGTCACGTAGACAACAAACTGAGAATCACGAATTTGACTCTTTACAGACCTTGTGGTCCAAAGAGCACGTGTTAAACCATAAACCATTCGGCCACCCATCCTCTCATCGATATTAGTAAAAGGCGACAATCATTCACATTCAAAACTTACGATCTAAGTGGGCCCCAATTGTGTTTTGTCAAAGTGCTTTGAATTTCCGATCAATCACCGAGGTCGTTAAGTCTATTGATATCACCCGATAAGAAGAACCCTATTCACAATTAATATTTAAAGGGCATTAGGTAAGATTAGATAAAGAGCTGACAGTTCTCAATATATAATAATTACAAAATAGATAATGTAAATAGAATATCTTGAACATTTCAGTAAAATTGTTTCACAATGAACCGAGATATTAGCGATTGTAAGCTAGCCTCGAACGTCATTACTAACTTTGGGGCGATAATAAACCAAGTCTCGATTATCCATTTTTACGTTAAATTATCCATCATAAAATATATTCAAATCCATTAAATATCGCAGGCTAACGATGGCATCGAGAGTTGATTATGATCTAGTTAAGTAAATTATCTCTAATTAATTTATATAACATTTCAGGCCTAAAGAAAGACCTGAAATAGGCAAATTTAGCTCTTGTATAATGCATGTTCACTACTCACAAGAAAGTATAACAATTAAGAAATATGAATAATGAATTACAAACACTAATGTGATAAAGCACGTGCCATAATGACAAAGTGAATTTTTTTATGTTGAATAACAACTTCAGATTTGATCCAAACAGAAAATTATCCAGAGCATTCCATAATGCTTTGGTGTAGCAGTATATATTATTTCATGTGTTATTTTGTCACGAGAGCCACGAAGGCTAAGTGAGTAAGACGCTAGCTCGCTAGCCTGGAGGTCGCGGCTTCGGTCCCGGTGTTGACCGAGAAAGTTTCCGGAGTGGTTTCCTCGTGTCAGGGGGCCTGCACAAGGACATCTGTCTAGTCATTCGGGTGTGGACGAAACACTGAGTTCCAACGTACACATTAGCGTGCACATAAAAGATCCCTTGACAGTTGGAATTCGATATAAGAGTAGAGCGTAGTGCCTCTGTCCGGGCAAAATTTCTCTCATAGCACACTGTAATAAATATTTTTATATTGATTGGCATGTGCATATTCCCCCTTCGGGTAACTGGGGTGTGGGGCGGGGGTTAGAATCCACTCGACTAACTTTAGCAGTGGGAGAACATAAGAGAATCCTGAGAAAACCTTCAATGTTAGACAAGCGACCTTACTCCTTGTCATGTACAAGCGGAGAATCGAAACCACGCCACTTGGCTCACTGCCAGGTTTTCTAATCTACAACGCATGCGTTAGACAACACTAGCAACCAAACACCAACCGGTCTCGTCTACATACATGCAATAAACTAATCAGATTAAAATACAGATCTATATTTCGTTTCATTTTTTATACTTTCGATGGCCTACACTACATGAAGATCCCACCAGTTGTAGTGGAATGTCGTGTCAGGGGTCACACGAGCGGCTTTTGACCCTTTGACGTCAGATAGTTGATTAACCAATCTGCGTTGATGTTTCTAGCGGGATACCCACAGCTCCAAGAACTAGCCATAACAGACCGTTTCATTGCCTAATCCCTCACATCAACCAGAACGGAAGTTATATAACAACTCTTCCAGATCCTAGTGTAGCGAAATTTTGAACAATAAAAATCGAAACGAAATAGAATCTGTGTTTTAATCAGATTGGCAATAAACAGGTGAAACATTCCTGACTTACCTTTGATAGCTTCGAATAACCAGGTTCATTGAGAATCACCCATAACATATACCTAGTTGAACACATGATTTTACCTTTTTCATAAATAAGATTATTGTTATTTTTGGTATATTGTTCAAATTTGTTTAAGGTATTTCTTTCATCAATCGCCATTAATATCGTATTCTGACAACACTTCTGTACGTCACAGATACCCACCCCCCAGAATTCCAGTTCAGTTAAAAAGGAATGGGGACAAGTGTGTGGGGGTTGATGTAGTTCCCCAGTGGTCAGAAACTGATGTACCGACCCGAAAACAGTCGGTGATCTCTCCAGAAAATACTCGTTAGCGCTAACCCTTTCGGCATTTTGTAGAAACTTGGAATCTTTTAGCTCTGTTAGCTGATGAAACGTCGTCATGCTCAATTCATACTTAGTGCCGCTAATATTTATAGTCACTTTTTCCATGATTTTTAAATTTGATATAATTCTATTTAAAGATACATTATGGGGGATTACCTGAAGAGCTGGCAGTTCTCACTATAATAGTTAAAATGTAGATAATGTAAAGGGAATGTGCTGAATATTTCAGTCAAATTGATCCACTCTGAACCGAGAATTTAGCGATTGAATTTTAGGCCTAGGGTATATAGGCTACCTAAAACGTTAAAATGTAAACTCCTTTACAAAACGTCGAATGGCCCGCACAAGTTAAGACGCAAACTCCTAAACAAAATGTAAGATGGCCCGCACACGTTAAGACGCAAACTCCTAAACAAAACGTCGAATGGCCCGCACACGTTAAGACGCAAACTCCTAAACAAAATGTAGGATGGCCCGCACAAGTTAAGACGCAAACTTCTAAATAAAATGTTAAGACGCAAACTCCTAAACAAAATGTAGGGTGGCCCGCACAAGTTAAGCAGTAAACATCGTTAGAAAACGTAGGATGGAAATGTAGGATGAACCGCACACTTTTAGTGGTAAACTAATTTACAAAATGTAGAATGGCCCGAACACTTTAAGGGGTATACTCCTTTACAGAATTTAGGATGGACCGCACACGTTAAGCGGTAAACTCATTAACAAAACGTAGGATAGACTGCACACGTTAAATGTAAACTCCTTTACAAAATGTAGGATTGGTCACACGCGTTAAGGGGTAAACTCCATAACAGAACGTAGAATGAACCACACACGTTAAGCGGTAAACCCCTTTACAAAACGTAGGATGGATCGCACACAATAAGAGGTGAACTCCTTAACAAAATGTAGAATGGACCGCACACGTTAAGAGGTAAACCCCTTTACATTTGTAGGATGAACGTTGAACGAGTTCTTTAAACGTCATCAGTATAAATTCAATGGGTCCTTACAACGTTGTCATCAATTCAATTTGTTTTTAAAAATGTCGTCACCGATGAGAATTCAATTAGTCCTTAACACTTTGTCACCAATATATTTAAACGAGTTCCCAAAAACACCTTGTTGCCAATATATTTCCACGAGTTCTCAACACTTTGTCGCTGATATGAATTCATTAAGTCCTTTACTAGTTGCCACTTAAATTCCCGAGGGCAGTACCACTAAACATACTGCAGTTTTAGAGTTGTTAAATACGTGAAGTTCGATTGCCGGTTGCATAAACGACATTCTATAACCGTGAAGATGTTAGGCGCCTATCATAATCTCAGTCGCGTGCCATCGTCTGTATTGCTATGTTTTTTTTTATTAAAGCCTATCTGTTCGTTGAATTCACAGCATAACATATTTTGTTATTGATTATTGATAACATTTATAAACCAAATACATCAACAACATTCATGTTAAGGCATGTAGATAATAATACTACTAATAAAAATAATAAATGTATATTTCTGTAGCGTCAAAGCTTCATAATACACAATACAGGATAAAGAAATAGACAAATTGCTTTTACTACCTAAAAATCATTGATGTCGGTGTCGATTGGTGTAAATCCCACGTGAATATTAATCATTGAAATATATCTATAGATATAGATGTTTATAATACACATTTAAAGCGACATTCTGATATACAAAAACTTGATATTTTTATATTTTTACCAATTTTCCTCTTTTTTTTTTATTACGCTTATAAGTAAATAACTTAATCAAAGGAACTAGAAATTGACACAAATGGGTCGCGACGCATATAATAATGTAATATGAATGTATATAAACTGATTTACATTCAATAATTTCCGTTTTTACTCTAATTTCAAATCAGTTATGTTCCGCGAAATACGCCAGAAGTCTCAATCGAATGGCAATCTCTAGCGTCTGGTTATTCCAGTCTACACCGATAGTATTTATTGTGCATGCTCTCCAGATAAGAATATGGCGTCAAGGTTTGGCATGACTTGTGGAATATGTCTAGCCTCGTTCTTCGAGTCCCGTGTTACAAATGGCACTAAAACGCATTATGATACACGATTCCTGTACCAATGGTAAAATGTTTATTTTGTCTTAAATAATGGA